GGTTGCAAACTAGCAGTCGTGGAAATTCTGCAATTATAAGAAATAGAATAGAATACATGTATAGATACTTTTGGTGTTAAGATTTTGGCCTTTTGTGAAAAATAACATGTGAAGTGTATGGAGGGAAGGGAGAGTGGAATTTGTGACGAAGAGCAAATGGTCGGTTGCCTTGGACCCCTAGCTAGTGAAGATTGCGTATGAATGTGCATGTGACCCTGTTTCATCTTTTCCCTTTAATTATTATTATTATTATTATTTTAATAAAAAATGAGACGCCCAATGCAGGCGGATCGATATTATCGAGAACAAGGAAATGATTAAGGCAACAATTGTTTGCAGGAGAGTCTCATGTAGTAGTATTAACCCCCACCCCATACACTAAAGATGCCTTGTTTTAGCTTTTTGGACGGTATATATGCTCCTGTTTGTACCTTAAAGTAATGAGGATTATCAGTACTTCCATAACTGAGCGCCTGAGCCACAAATATTTATTATGCAGGCTCCATCATTAGGCTGGGATTTGGTTCAGTTAAGTTCAGATCCTGCAGGCTGGTGTGTGATTATGTACTCATTATTATTTTTATTGTTTTTAGGACAGGATTAGAGGGGAAAGAGGTGAGGAGTGAGACAACTCAGGAGAGGGTGGAAAGTGATGAGTGCAGGTGAATATTCCCTGAGGCCATGCCCTCTAAAAGCTTAAAGAGTTAAGAGTTCCGTCGTCCTTTCTCTCTCTTTCCACCTCATGCCTAAGTGTACGGCCACTAAATCTCTCCAATATTATCACTACTTAATCAATTCTTACTTGTTTACCCATCCATCCAGCCTTTTCTCTCTTAACTAACCCCCCCAGACCAATCCTATACTCACATGATCAACTAGCCATGCATGTCCGTTTTCGTTTCAATATACAAATGTACATGCGTCCACTTTTACCCATTATTTTAAGATTCGATCCAGGAGATTTTATGCTAAAGATTTATCACTTTCTTATATATATACGAGTTCACACATAATAGGCCAAGAACTAGCTGGAAATGGGGGAGTGGGGTGACATCACGGAGCAGAGGAATCAATGTAGAAGAAAGTAGGTAGAGGGAAACGTGAATGGCAGAGCCGGCCTAGCTACTATACTTTATACGCAAGGAAGCATCACCTCGTCAACAGCCCAATCTGAGCCACGCAAGTCATAGTCAAAATCACAACAGGAGACACTGTTCAAACTCTCCAACTCAGAAATACTGGTGACTGTTAAAAAACAGCAGCTTCCTGAGATGACAAAACACTTCACAGAGATCCGCTTCATGTCCCTGTATGTTCTGGGTAATATACATACAACAAATGATCAGGGTTTGAAGAATATGGTTGAGCGTGACTAATGAGTATGCTGATATGATATCTGAGATTATATTTGGAGAGGAAGGAGAAATGTGGAGATCAGGGACGGCGGATCTTGTGGTGTTATATGTGATGGGATGGACATGCACATCACCAGCTGGGAGTCAGGCCATAATGGTACCAGGGAGACTGAAAAAGTGAGGTTATGATCTGATCATACAGTTGCCTATTCAAACTCCTCCAACTGCCTCTATAGTCTATACTGAGAGTCGCTTCACCTTCACTCTTGCCCCATCACACGTCACTCATTCTTCGATAAATTAAACTCATCATATTGTTGGAGAAATAAACAATATTTATTATAAAAAAGTTTTTAAAATAATTCTAATCATCTAGAAAACATGTTTGAAGAGAATTATCTAAAGAGACTAACACACGTTTATATAATAAACAGTTAACTTAACTACTTTTTTTAATAATTTAAATTAGTTATATTATATAGTTCTTATATTAAGTATTGAAAGTAATATTTAGTTAGATGCTTCTAATATGCACTAACATGACAACGAGTTATTATGATATTTGGCCTGACATGAGACGTTGACAGTAAATTATTTTTTCACACATGAATATGGTATACAATGCAACTAAAAAAACAAAAAAAAAACAGAGGGGCCACTGCGCAATTATCCTGAACGGTCCATGCCATCGAAACCTGAAACTGGACATTCACAGCAAGTTGAGGATCGAAGTAGTAATTGGTGGAGAATGGAGAGGCAGTGACAGGGACTTTGAAGGCGCGAAGTGCGCAAGAGATGTGTGATTGGTGAAGGAAGAAAAGGCTCTTTTTATTTGGCAGATGAAGTCTCCACATGCTATAATATGCAGCAATCACAATCAAGTCAAAATCTGCAGATTCTATCGTATTCAAAGTAACAGCGCATACAAACGACAGATTGGTCAAGTGTTGGAGCAACCACAATTCACCACCTATCCCCAGCCTCATACCTATGCCTCCTTGCCCAACATGTCAACTTCCAAACATGTTCTGTGCTCACAAACCCCTTATTTTTATCACCGCCCCTCTTGTCCATATGTTATTCTATTGGCCTACGCTAAGAATTCACATTATTTAACTTGTTCCCGCCTCTTATCTTTCCCTTTCCTGTGTTTCTACGCCTCCTAGCGCATTAAGTTTTTCATTTTCCACCCGCCTCTTTGTATCTGAGTTGGAATAATGAAGATTTGGTTGCAGAAAAATGAGTATAATGTCTGAGAACTATTGGGCCTATCTACATGCATGCACATAATGAAGGCATCGTTGTCGCAGGACGTTCTCTGAACTAACCTCAGGTTTGTTGACGAGGGGAAAAGCCTATGCTCAAGGTTCACACGTAACTAAAGACTCAAGTTTGATAAGATATCAGCCAACTTGTAAATAATATATACTGGTGCACATATTTTATCCTCATACAGATGGTGATTATTTTTATTCACCACAACAGGTGACTCCAACATGCATGGCATCCTACGTGGCAACACTATGGAGAAGAACACATACACATCAGAAGATGGATAGGAGATAAGGAGAGATTCTAGCAAGAACTATGGGTTTGCAAATCTGCAAGGATATAGCAGTATAAAGATTTGCTCAAAATCACTGGGATGGAGGGTCAAATCTGATTAGGAGAGATTGTGATCCCCATCGTCCACTTATGGCACGTATACAAAGAATTAGGTCCCTTCTTTGTCAGGTAGAAGTTGAAGTGAATTACTGTCCAAGAAGGCACGATCCAGTTCCAGTGTGCAGATATTCTCGCAAAGAACGCCCATTGTGAGGAAAGCAGTATCAGACTCCTTTTTGACGCCCAAGTTGCAGAGATTCTTATCTCAGCGAAAGAGATCGGTGCTACAACGAACTGAGATTTTGTACCCTGATTGTTTCCTAGCTTTCAAGCCTAGGCTTGCCTACAAAAAATAAAAAAAAGCCGAAAAATCCTTTTTTCCTAAACAAAAAATATTCAAATCACGGCCTTAGGGTACTTTGCAATCCCATGCATGTATGCATACATGTTATCAGCATGATTTTTTTAGGGGGCATTTTTACTTTTAAGCCATTTTCTCCTGAGGGCAGTAGGTATCCTAAATTATAACTGTCCCCAAACTATTAAAAAGGTTACAATATGCACCTCCATTAAGGTGGTTGGTTAATTAAAATAGCATTTTGATTTTTTACAAATCTAAGAAATAACATTAGTCCTATTGATTTAGAATTTGTGGGACTTAACTGGCATCAATTCTTTGAGAGGTTAGTTATTTGTGATTTTTTGGAGCATTTACTAAATTTTCAGTCAAGTAGTGTTCAACATAACAGATGCTCTACAAAGAGAAAACATTTAACAATTATTAATATTTGAGGGAAGATCCGCATCACTCATTCACTTGTAGTTTTGAATAGTCCCAAAAAAAAATTAATAGATCCCGTAAGGAGGCACTCGAGCGTTTTAATCAGATCTCCGCGTTATAAATTATTGCAATCACCCCACTTATAAGGCACGAAGAGCAGTGCTATTTTTAATATTCAGTCTTCACTCTGCTTTCTTCTTCTTGCAAATCATTGGGAACGAGAAAGTAAATGCATGCTATGTTACTGCTCTCGGATTTGAAAGACTCGCCGGATTGCTTCAACCATTGGCCTAACGGAAATCAAGAACTTGATTGATTCCCTATTTTTATAATAATTTGTTTTTCTTTTTTATAAAATTAAAAATTATCAGTTTTGAAAAAATTAAAAACAAAAATAATTTTTTTACGTTTTCTGATTTTCTGTTCTACAAGATCGTTTTTCTTTTATATAAAATCAAGCACTGCAAAAAAAAAAACAAAAAACCTCTTTCATCATCGGTTAAGCTCTTCCACCCCAAGTTTGAACTCACCACTCTACTGATTCAGGGTTCATTTAGAATGGCTCAAGGGGTGTTTGGTATAATCCAAAAAACACTTTTAAAAATTAGCATATTCATATACTATAAAATCACTTTAAAAACAATGATTTTGTTCCTAATCAAACACTCCCTCATAAGTGAGTTTTCAATAATGATTTATAAAATATAAAGTAAATATAGAATTCAAGTTGTATATGAACCGCCTGTAAGTGATTTAAATAAAACGCATTTGTAAAAGGTTTCAATCTAAGCCTCAATCTACTCCCTTTCTACTTGCCTTTTCTACCCTCCATTTTACCCAATGTTCTTTAAAAACAATTATTTCAAAAAATTTTGTTTTTTTTCTCACATGATAATTTGGTACAGTCATCCATACTTTCTTTATATTAAAATTTTTTTACAAAACTATTATAAGAGAAAAAATAAAAACAGAATTAAAAAAAGACAACCCTTTTTTTTCTGACCGTTTTTTATGACGGGGGTTGGGTTGGGCATTTTTTGTTGGTGGCTGTTGGGTGGGATTATTTACTCCATTCCCTTCAGCCACCTTGTGCACGCAACATGTACACTGTATGCAGCATTCACCAGGTCCCTATTCTATATCTACGCCCTTACTGTTATGGTGGTTTATGGATTCAGCGGCCAGCGGGAGCTTGCTCCCATGGGCCATGGGCCTGCTTAAGGTCGATGCGCTCTAGCTTTTTCATTCACTCCTTGTTACCCAATAAAACAAATTAATAATGATTAATGCGCACAAAAAAAGAATCGAGGGGCAAAAAATGGAGGGGAGATTACATTATTACATGAATATTGCAGGGCACAATAACTGCCAACTAGCAGTCATGGAGCACCCTTCGGACGGAAAAAATGGTGAAAAAAATTGAAAGAAAATTAGGCTCTCAATCAGAAGGATGGTCAGAGGGGATTCGACCAAAAATGTCAGGGCAAGATTCCCAATTTCCTCGTTCCCTGGCTTCCCAATACCCTCCCAAATAGCGGTAAGTGCCGCTTGCCTTGTCTAAGGCGAACCACCGTGGTTTCCAACCGCTCTCCTGCATCTTCCGAGCCTGCACGCCATTCAAATATACTTAAGCTCAACTGAATCCAAGTTAACAAAACTATTTTTGACCAAGTCTATGACCCATCACCACCAAGCTTATCTGTTTAACCCAATTTCCTATCACTCAAGCACCATATCGAAAGTTTCTAACCCGGGCTCATGGCATCCTTGTAGCTGCTAACCACGGAGGCAACCCAGTCATCTAGTGATTATCACACACTCACAAATGGAAATTGCCCCACTCGAGCTTCTGCTAAATGATCTAGCGGGTAGAAAAGGACAAAAATAACACTTAATATTGACTCTAATGATAAATTTGCTCCGAATGCAAGGACTTCTAAAAATGATTCCTGATTAAACATTGCGCCCTCACGAATCCAACAGTTAAAACAGTCGATTCCACTTACATAGATACCTTCGCCCGATTGCACAAAATTCAAGCGGGACAAAACTACTTACTCAGAACCCTGAGTGTCAATCCACATTTTTAACCAAAGACAAGGGAAACGGAGGGGTAAAACACAGAGATCATAAGGAAAAATTGATCACCTGGCGTTGCCGCTGCTCTAGTCGCAACTTTTCTGAATTTGCCATTTCATACTCCCCGTTTTCCAAGTACCTTTGGTCTGGCCTCAACCTGGAATCAGTTGGTGGCAGCTTCTCCTGCATATTGAATTAAAGTATAATTAAGAATCAATGTTACAAACAAATGTTAAACACAGGCACGCGTGCACACAAATAACTTTTTCAGTACTCTACCTTTCAAAGGAACAAGAAGAACAACAGATTACAAAACTTAGGACAGTGTCAAACGAAAACGAAAATACAGACCTTCAATCGAGTTGTCAGTTCATTTAATGTGATGGCAAAGCGAGTGAAATTATATCTAGTAGGATACTTTGGAGGCTTGCTCCGCTTCCACAGGACTCGTGCTTCTGACAAAGACTCATAACCTTTTCCCTTCACAGCAAAGTCTCCAGAAATATAATGCATACTTTCATCCCATTTTCCAAAAAGGGTTGCCACTGTTTTTCCATTTTTATCTTCAACTATTCCATGCACCTTAAGAAAACAGTCAAACCACAATAAGAAAATCCTCCAGTTCAAAGGCTAATGTGGGGAGCGTATAAGTAACTAGTAAGAGTCCAAATGAAAGTTATAGCGATAAAGTCCATTGCTTTACCATTGAGAAATTAGTAGGGCTTTTGAAACTCAGTTCGTTTACAGAATCACACATAACTGTGAATGGTCGTTAATTAGATAACTTGCAGAAAGCTATTAGTTGCGTAAGAAGAATTACTTGAGGGAAATCTGAGGCTGCTATGCAATGCGTATGGACAAGAAGCATAATGAGGCAACTCACCCACATGCAAAGCAATAGGCTCATGCTATAACTGAGAAAGACAGCATTGTAAAGCAAATAGAGCACCTGGTGGGGATTTCGATCAATTATAGATTGCTCCTTGAATTTCAGTTTACATGAGTAATCTCCGTTTCCTTGTATACGCATTGTTCCATAGTGATCACAGTACAGCTTCCCCAATATGAGATTGTATATTGACGTTGTCACCTGACAGAAAAAGGGCAATCGAGATGAAAACCAAACCAAGGCAAAATAGCAATTGAAGCAGTTTAAATATACCTTACTCCACTGAAAAACTTCCCCATCATCAAATTCCAAAGTCAAAATACCAACAGGGTCAAGCTGAATTGATCGGCCCCAAAATTTGCTCTTTAAGTTGCTGTCTCCCCAAAATTTCCAACCCGTACCTTGACAGTGACATGCAACTACCATAGGGTGATGACTAACCTGAAAGAAAATTACATATTAATACTTTCTCAATAAATTGTAAAAACACAATTTTGCTCTTTGATGCCAAAATTATGCTTATTCAGTCCTCAAGTATTTATGCACTCAAATACACACCACAGCAACATAACAACTATTGGAGTTCTCACATTCTTCCTTTTCCCCTACTCTCTTTTCCTCACAACATTTCAATATCAACACATTGCAAACAAAGATCCAGCTAAAGTCAGCAAGGGAAAAAAATACACATGTTAGAAGCACCATTTTTCAAGGTTTGAATTACCTTCTCTGAGAAAAAACGAAGGCCTTTATCTGGGTAATCAGCCTCATATGTTTCCCCTAGTAAAGGATTAAATGGTTTGCAAATTCTTCCTTCAGTTGAGGCATAGCCGGATACAGCAAAAGCAGCCACGTTAAGAATCCTCATGAGGCTATTACCCTGAATGATATGTCCAATAATGTAAGTGAGAATGTTGCATCTATGCACTTTGAAAGAACTAACAGTGAGTAATGAATCCAAATAAATAATGGCATCATTTATTGTCCAGGATTACCCGTTTCCCCCATTCATATGCTCGATCCAGGAGATATGAGTACTCCATTTCTTCGAAACATTTTTGCAAAGACGAAAGAGGCTCATTGAAATAAACAGGAAGACATACTTTAGTTAGATCCTTTCCAATATTATCCTTAATCATTGACCAAAGACTGACGCCTTTTTCTTTTTCAATAGGGTCAGGCAATTTCTTGCGCCGTTTAACATAGGGATAGCTGGTTCCAACTGATCTTATTGATGGATCTATGTCCTCGTCTGACTCTATCGCATAAAGCCCTTCATCGTCTGAAGAGAAAGATGAAACCCTATAATCAGACCCATTACTTTTAAAAGAACTGGATGATAGAAAGTCGCGTGTGTCAAAAAAGGCATTTTCATCATCATCTGTTTCTTCCTCTGCAGCATCATTTCTCTCATTATAATCCTCAGATTCACTTGCACTTCCTTCTGGATTAAAAAAGTAAAAAGTGAAAACGAGAATTGCAAACGACACAATCAAATTATAGTTAGTTAGACTGAAATGCTTCTTCAGACTGATGACAAGTTGACTTTAGGCTTCCCGCTAATGGAGACAAGTCTTAAGGATTGTCCATGAAAGGAAATTCATAGGCACATCTAAACTAAAAGTAGGTTGAGTCTTGATAGATCAAGCAATAAACAGATTCCAGTAAGCTTAGGGTACTAATAACTGACAGTGAAAAGGGCATCATGCAAAAACTTACCGCTATACTTTTCATGCTTTAGTCTGGAAAAAGCCTCTTCATCATTCAACTGCCTTTGGCTCTCATCAACAACTGTATTCTCCAGATCAACTTTTTCTGTCTACAATAAAGCAGTATAAATGATAGTTTCTTACCACACTAGGAATAAGGAATTCACTCATACAAACAGTACTTAATAGAAAAAGAAAAGACCAGACCGACCGTCTGGTGTGACAAATGAAATCTTAATTTGGGCATAAGAGAAACCACGGGCAATTCAACAGGTTACGACATTTAGAGCCATCTCATTCCAGACAATATTGAAACATTCTTCTCTTCCACATTCAACTGAGTCCATCCCTATTCCCCCTTTCAAAATCTTTCTAGGTTGAAAATAAGAAAACTTTTCTATCTATAGCATCTATGGCTCTTCACCCACGATACAAGATAATTCCAGGTCCTCACAATGTATGCTAGAAGAAGTGACCTGCGTTTCCTTATTAAGGATTAGTGCACTTGCAAACAAACACCGTATTGAGAATTAAAACCTTAATCTAGTATCAATCTCATCAATAACATATAAAAAATATAAGAAGCCACACAGTTCACCGCTTAGCCCATCACGGGTGGGCTCTGCACAAATGCATGGGGCCCACTCTAATTATTTTGACAATTTGTAATCCATTGACCACCATGAAACAGACTTTTGAGTCCTTAACCAACAAATCAAAATAAGTTATTGCTGTACCCTATAGTCTGCAAGGCCTTCAACTGGTTTTAAATTTAGAGTGAGATAAATGAACACAGACACAAGTTTATGACAGTATCTCAAATTTTCTATGTGAGGAGCTGGATAATCCGTTGGGTATATAATAAATTGAAGGCGCGGACTCTGAAAACACCTAAACACTTTTGAATGTGGAATCAATTGTCTACCTACATCCACGAAGTAAAAGTAGGATGGGGAACCACGTGACACTGACACCATATTGATTAAAGAATAGAAAGAAGTCATTAAGGCGTTTGTTGTAAGGATACAGAAGCATGACCCAAGGGGTAAAAACAGCTTCATAAAACAAGAATCAGCCTGATACACTCTCATGAATCAGAGAAAAACCCCCCCTCCCGCGCCTTCTTCTATTACTATTAAGAAAGAAAACAGACACTCCCCGTTTGTTTGACTGAGAATTTTAGAGTGTTAAAAATGACAGCAATTTTATGTTGTAGCTGAAACCGATCAAGAGCAAAGGATGCCCTATTTATTTGATCCGAGTATCTACTTTTCACTAAACGTACCTCTAGTTGTCGTAACGTGTCCATGAGAATGAACTGCTTCTGCTTCAGCAGCACAAGCTGATTTTGTAGCGCTACAAATTCACTTCTCATAATTTGTTCACTGTCTTGGATGGCTGCCTCACTCACACCTTCTTCCTGAAGCCGTTGTCTCAGTTTGTCAGTTGAAATCGTTAGATAGTCTAACGGAGCCATCAGCTCACTGTTGGACATTCGCGGGAACATATCCTTCACTGCCTGCAATGCCTCCACCCATGCCACTCGATCTTCACGGGTCTCGGCCCTCAAGTGGAGTCTCTTAGTTCCAGTGAAAATGGAAAAACGCTTGTCATCCGACCTGCTTTCGCGAATAGTCGAAACCTACGGAAGAAGAGCTGACACTCAATAGAGAAGATAGAAAGGACAGAAATGCACGGAAGAACCGCCAGGAAACAGGACCCATATTCCCTGTTTTCGTAACACTAGAACTAGAATGGTACCCAAATCAACAAGTCCTCATATTAAATTACTATTTATATCCTCTGTTAGAATCGGTCAGGAAAAATGCTGCACAAAATTGATCACTCGTTCTGGTTCATAGCTGAAGAGGCAAAGGTTTATTTACTAAAAACGTCAGAAACGGGTCAAAAACTTCACAGTTTCATAATCAGCATTTTTGCTACGATGACCACAATCATCAATAGAACAAAATAATTGGAAGGAGAAGCAGAAATCAAACTACGCCCGAAACTGAACACCAAATATGTGTGTGTATACATATTAGTAAAAAGAGACGTAAGCAGGACAAATAAACAAACATGAAGCATGCAAGAATAAAATTTGTGACTGGATAGTAGAACCTTGAGATGGATTTCTCCAAAGGGCTTTCGTCGATGGAGGGACTGCTGATGAGAATTGCGGTTGCGCGAGATCCTTCGCATGGATTCTTCGCCAATGACCTTGGAACCCTTCTCTGTTTCTTTATTGACGATGATCTTATCGGGCCCGTGGATCTTATAGTAAGAAAGTACGCCGTCTTGAAGAACGAACCATCGAGGTCTCCAGCCTTTACCGTAATTGACCCACTTATACAATATCCCCGAGATTCCATTCCCGACCAAGTCATTGATCTTCACATCTACCGCCGGTTGCTGCTGCTCTCGCGGACTGAGCCGTCCATACTCGCCGAAGCCGTGATTACTAAGGGTGTGGTTGTGGTTATTCGAGCGGGGAATCGAATCGGATCGAATGGCAGAGGCAGGGGCGGCTGGGGGAAGAGGAGGAGGCATGTGGAAGCTAGGGAAGGGAGCAGGAGAGGGTTTGACCGGCGAAGACTGATCAGAAACGGCGGAGACGCAGCAAAAGGGATGCATTGGGAATTAATACGAAAGACGAACGGATTGGAGGGCGGAGGTGAAGCCGGCGGAGGCAGAGACGATCAGGAGCATCATGTTATAAGCGATCACGAGAATGGGGAGGGAGGAGTGCGAAGAGAGATTGGCGTGAGAAATGAGATAAAACGGTTACGTCTGAGGATAAGTAAACGATGGGTTTAGGAGGAATTAAGGAAGCCACAATGAAAAAGGGATAAAGCGAAAAGCAAAGAGGGGAGAGAGGAGAGGGACGGTTGAGAAGTCGGGACGGGGTGATGAGAGGGGAAAGGAATCGGAGCGACGGTGAGATGAGGTGGCTGGGGGAAGGAGAAGACGCAGACAAAAAGAAGAAAACCGCTGGGGGAATTGGATGCTCCTCCATTTTTTAAATACGAGGCGGTTGGTTGGGAAGAATTATGGTGACCCGAGGTCTGGATCGTGTGCGGAGAGCCCACATGCAGGGAAGAGCCGCCGGCTCCTCCAGATGAAGACACGTGGCCGTAAGTCAACAGCAAAGGTTCCATGTTTCGAATTATTGACTACAGATACCAGTTAGCGATTTGTTTTTTTTTCGGGAATAAAAACGAGACCAGTTATATTAAAATGAAGAAGCTCTTACAATGTCGTAATATGATAGGGAATCGGTAAGTAATAAAAACATCGATTGGATATAGAAAATGACTGAAAAAAAAAAAAGACACATTGAATGAGCATCCCATCCAAAAGTGTCACTGGAGTTGGAGTAAACAAGAGATGGATTTATCTTGCATGCGATGCGATGATGTGTTTTGATATGGTTCAGGCTGAGAGTTCAAGAAATATTACACGGTAATTGAGGCAGGCCAGTGTAACATCAATTTCAAATAGGAGACACACAAAATAGAAAAGAAGACTAGCGATTTTTGTTATTCCTGAATGCGCATGTATAATCCGCGAGTGTGTGAATCATTAGTTGTCATTATTGATCACAACACAAACATGCATGTTGTGTAATTTAGTGTTTAGGAGGAAAGTGAATAGGAAGAGAACACAATGAAGTGTGCGCAATATACACAGGATATCACGAACTCAAGCTCAATTATAATTTGTTTCTCATGAATAGGTTTGGAATTAGGCTATATATGTGACTTAACGAAGTTAGTTGGAGTTGTAAATGGGAAGGAAAGTAAGGGAAAGAAAGGCGAGGACGTGGAGATCGAAGGGCGAATGAAACTGATGATGCGGAGAGAGAAATGGGTGTACGGGTTATTAGGTGGGAAGAGGACGCTGTGAAGACGTTTTGTGAAATGGAAGCAAGTGAAGCCAAAGCCAATTATGAGACGTTATTTTCCATCCACTGCGCTTCGTCAAACCTTCTGTTCACTTCAGCCGTACCGTACGTATATATTTATGCACAGGCCTTTATTGTTCCCGTCTACGACGTAATATGCTTGTCGTCCTCAGTCCTCAGTCCTCACCCAATTATTAAATCCACCCCTCAGTTTCTGCATTTCTTTCTTTCTTTTATTTTAAAACTTGGAGCTCATTCCTTTGCTCGCCGTACATTCCACTGCATGCAATGCAATATCCTCTGCTCTCAGAATTTTCCCATACGGCCAACCCAAACCCAACAAATTTAAATATAGAAGGCGTACGTTGCTGAAATGATTGAACTGTAAAGTTGAGCCAAAGTGCTGGACCATTAAAAAAACATTATGAGAGCTAATTAGAACATGACAGGTTGCTCCCAACCAAGAATGATCTGTGAGAATTACGAATCACAGCTGCAACATATTACCTTTTGAAAATGAAGAGATGCGCATGCTCATACAGGAGCGGGTAATACAATTAATTAGTGCGTGGGGTTGGGGATCAATGGAGAAAGAGTAAAACGGGATTATTTATATATTCGATGCATGCATTATTATATTTCAGACATAGATCTCGCAATATTTTCGCACTCATATTCCGCACCACCACCACCACCACTTTGACTCCATTAAAGTATCCTTTTTTGTTGCATTCCTAAGTTTATTTTTTAAGTCAGGAATCATTTTTCTTATGTGTTTGTCTTCGCCTCCAAGGCAAGGCAGTTTCAGTACTGTATTTATATACTACTTTCGATTTTTAATATAAGAGTTAGTTTGACTTTTAATTTGGTCATAAATATAAGACTCTAAATACTCTGTCTCTCATGTTTATTCATTTTTTTCTAAGATAGTCATTGTTGTAATGATAATTATAGCTAATAAACTTTATTAACAGAAATATTTTATGAAAGACAATACCTGTTTATTATAAATATCCAACTTAACTAATTTTTTTAATATATTCAAATTAATTAACTGATTTTTATATTAAAGACCGGAAGTAATAGCATCGCTAGGTAGACTCCCACTGCCCTCTTCTTTTCCCCCATGCTTTTTAGAGGTTAACTAAATTAATTAATTAATCATAAGCACTGGGGTGACGCGGTCATAGTAAAAGGAAGGCGCGAGCTAAATGCGAGGTCGTGGTTAGTTGTCATGGAGGGACAGGTGTATTAATTATTAATACTACCTCCGGTCCTTAATATAAGACTTTATTTGACTTTTATTTTGGTCCTAAATATAAGACTATAATTCATTTTGTCCCTTATATTTATACATTTTTTTTTCAAAGTAGCCCTTCTAATAATGATAGTTTTAGTTAATACACTTAATTAGCAAGGATATTTTGGAAAAGACAACATATATTTAGGAGAAATAACTAACTCAACTTACCTCCTTAATCTCCTCAAGTTAGTTAACTAGCTCTTACAATTAGGACCGGAGGTAGTACTATACAAGCTAACTTGTCAATACTTTTTTTTTTTTGTCAGAAGAACTTGTCAATACTTTTAAATATTGAGGAGATTTGGCATGCATGCACGTATTGTCAGGAATACTATCATATATATATATATATATATATATATCACGTATTTTTGTATTTTAATTTTTTCGCACAAAAATTATTCCTTTTATATGTGTATGCAATACTTTTTATCAGACTACTGTTTGACATGCTTGAAGAATCATAGCACCGCCCAGATATCAAGGAGGTGTTTAGATAGAAACCAACCATGATTTCAAAAGTGTTTTTATACGGTTTACGAGGTAAATATGTGAGGAATTTGTCTTGTTTTACGGAAAAGTGCTTCTGAAACCATGGTTTGGAGAATGCCAAACACCCTCTAAAACTGACTCATAATGAGATTGGAGGGAATAATCAAAGATCATGTCGGTACATGTACAGTTACTGCAGCAAAATCAAGCGTGATGGCTTAACTTAATACCAGGGAACGTAGCCATAACGCGTGCTTTTATACTATGCTGGAATTGATTGATTTGTAGATGGAAGTGATGTAGAGATGGAAGAGATATGAAAGCTTTTAAACATATAGCAGTTAATGTTTGGAATATAATTATAGGATGGGTTGTGGATTGGGGGGAGGAAGTTAGTTGAAGTGGACGGAGGAAAAGGAACAGGTAGTGGAATTAATAATTGGCCCACACGATCGAGAAACTTGACTAATTAGTTTAATTTAGTTTGATAGTATTCGGAGACGGAAGATTAGATATATACTAATTAAGAAATAAGAGGATTAGGTGGGAATCTTAGAATCATTCTAATTACCAAGTCCAACGGGCAACTTTCCGGTTTGACGTATCCACTTATAAGTGCGACAGATAGATCCCTCGGCTTTCTCTGCTATTTCATATTCTGTAGCAAAAGCAGCAATAGAGCGAGAAAATTTCCCACCTTTTGTTTAGAATATCCCACACGACATCCGTCTCACACTTCACCTACGCTATTTGAGATACTCGTTTGATCAAAACAAAGATACACACACACAGAGAGCTGCTTTTTTTGCTTTAAGGAAAAAAAAAGTAGACACATAGCTCTGGTTTATTAATAAAAGGATTTGATAAATGAGTTGTATTGTTTCTGGTTCGTATTTCATGTGAGTTTGTTATAAGTTTTATAACCACGTGTTAGTTAAACCGTGATCTTCTTGGAATTTAAATCAATTTTGAAATTATATATATATCGGGCATTGACAGTGTATGTGAGTACGTAAGTCAACAATTCATAAGTGAATAATCAATAATCAATAAAAAAAATATAAACGTGGAACACATTTTTAATTAGTGCGTGTATTAAATATGGAAGAGAAGAGGGTGAGAAAAACGGTAAAATTAATAAGGATATACTCCTCTGGTCCTATTCATAGGATAGAGAATGTATTTTTTGTCATATTTATAGGACACTAAAAGAAATTTTTGTATGGATGTACAATTTTATCTTTTATTTATTATTGTATTGACTTTGTTTATATGAAATATAATGTATATTAAATAGGGATAAAATTAAAAAGTCATTAAATTTTAAATGAAAGTTAATGAAGTTTAAAGTTTTTTTTTATCTGTATGAAATATGCTGTATGTACCTTAATAAGATCAGAGGAGTATAGCATAAAATCAAACAAAGAAGATAAAGGATGACGATATCTTATAGTTTGGATCGGATTAAATTATATTCCCAATTCTAATATAAAACTCATTTTGTAATATATTTTATATTACAAAATGGGTTTTGTATCCAGAATTGAAAGAGTACTGTCCATCAATTAAATCTTATATTTGAACTTTGAAGAGTGCATTATTATTTTACTATGCATCAATCATTGCAGTGTAATTGTGGTTTTTGTTTTTGGTGTCGGGGGAGTGAAACGGCGAAGGGGTAATTAATAATGAAGAGAGAGGAGCAACTAAGGGAGGTTGGTAGAGAGGCAAGGAGAGAGGAATTAGCGAAACATGTCTGGGCAAGGGGAGGGGCCTCCCTCTCCTACCAGCCGTTACTCTCTGTTTTCCCTCCCATATCCCTCCTCCCCCCATAGCCATCAATACTCCTCATCTCACTATTTTACTCCTCCTCTCAGTTATTTTTCAAAAATAATAGTATATATTACTATTAATTTATTCACTGAATATAAAGCACGTTTATAGCAAATCCCCATATCCCCATTTTCTCCAAAGTTAAAAAACACCCGACTTCGATTCAATCTCTATGCAATCACAATTAAATTCACATAAGATATTCAATCTTTTTTCTGGTGATAATATGGATCTTTGAATTCCATACGTAATCTCAAGATACGAAATCACGCGTGACAAACTAATTGTGGAGAATACAAGGCAAGCTAGCTATATATGCATATAGGGTGAGGTGATGAATCGATCTTCCAGTTTCACATGTGTGCGTATACATAATATCACTGCGTGCACACCAAGATTCGTCCAAATGTGACCAAATGGTCCAAACTGGTGAAAGACGCAGACACTCTCTTCCAAATACAACGGGACAAT